TGTAGTGAACTTGACCTGATGTCAAATCAATGACCTTAGGATCATATGGTCAGAAACTGTCATTTCATTGATTTGCATCCAGAAATACAGGTTGATCGATCCTGAGACTTTCTTTCTTGAATTAATCAAGTGAAAAAGACAATTCTCTATGATCATTACTATTTTACAAATGTTTGATAATCAAATTGTGTTAGTTCAAACAATGTTTACATGTTGAAATGAACTACTCATTTTTATTAACTGTGAAACAGTAAATAATGATCCTTAATCCTCATTCAAAGAAGAAATCAGGTTAATATGCATTTCTTGATTTTTCTGTCTTCAATGAGCAAAGTTGTAAGTGTGTTAAAGTTCAAGCTTCGGTCAACTAGAAAGTTTACTGAAAAGAAATGTCATGTTTAACTTTTACAGCAAGATACAGGAGAGGTGGCTCCACTAAGACTGGTTTTCTCCAACAATCTTTCTGTCTGTTCTTAAACAATCTTAATCTTTTCCTTGACTTTTAATAACACCTTACATCACAAACCACACCTCTGCTTTGGTCCATCCACCAACCAAAAAGCTCTCAAATGAACCGGAAGTGACCCTTCATAAAAAGGTTGGCACTTCCTAGTTCAAAGAGAAGAGTTCCAGAAGAGTTCTGGTAGAGAGTTCAGCTCAGTCTTGAAGCTGCTGTAAGCTCAGTCTTGAAGATGGAGCAGCAGTTCAAGTAGAGCAGGAGAGTTCAGGAGTTTTGGAATCCAGAATGCAGAGAGTTTGGGAGTTCATGAATGCAAACGCAGGCATTCATGGATGCTGCTAAGCCAAACAAGCTGAACCAGAGACGATTTTGGGAATTATAACTTCTGTTTGGATAACCTCGCACGGCTCTCGAGGTATTTGGCTGTTCTCACTGAGACGCTGAACAGTGGTTGGAAGTGAGACTCCACGCCGGAACTGATCTATCTTCAGAAAAGGTAAAAGTCGACCTTCACCAAAAGTGTACTGTTTGGGACAAGCTGATTTCCGAAGGAGCGTGCACGTTCTGGTTAAAACAGACAAATTCCCTCACACATCTCTCTGTAAGATAAATCTCAATTTTCCATCTTTAAACTCTCCTTTCTGCTAGAAAATTAATCCAGATGTTTTCATTAATGTCTGTGGTGAAACAACGGAAAATCATGGCCGTATGGTTTTCCTGGTTGTAAAGCTGATTAATTATGTTGTTGTTGTTTTCATATTCTGCCAAATTAATGTAAATGTGTGATGTGTTAAACTTGATTCTGTTAATAAATGACCCACTCGCTTGGTGAGTCAAAGATAATTAACGTC